ATATTCTGTATCTATATTTAAGAAAGAAATAAATATAAATATAGAAAGAAATATATATGATAACTCTGGAATTTTCATCAGAGATATATGTACAAGTGTTCATAATATCACGAAATATATTCAGTAATTATACTTCAAACTGCTAAAAACTTTAAATAAAATGCAGGGCAAGCGCATCTAAAGAGAAAAAAGCTAACTGAATTCAAGCTGAAATTTTAACTCGCAATAATAGCAACTAAGCAACTGAACTGAATATAATAACTAAAAACTAAGCAACTGAACTGAATATAATAACTAAAAACTAAGCAACTGAACTGAATATAATAACTAAAAACTAAGCAACTGAACTGAATATAATAACTAAAAACTAAGCAACTGAACTGAATATAATAACTAAAAACTAAGCAACTAGGCTGAGATGCTCTCTCTCTGGATTTTATAATAGTTTTCAACCGGTCGGGGAAGATCTTTTTAGTACTCTCTGCTTCTCGAGATTTCTGGAAAGCAAAAAAGATGGAAGAATTACAGTTACAGCTAACAAAGTGTTCAATTAAATTTGTTCAGTTTCAATACAATTTACCGAGATAACCATTTACTCAATGCTAAATGCACCTTTCCCTGTAGTCTTTCTTTTCCCACATAACTTTCTCTAAAAATTTGTCTCGCGCTGCGCTGCACGGGGTATACAGCAATTTTAATTGTAATTCTTCTAAAATTAGATATCTAAATACAAAATTCGTAACAATATTTTATCAAAGGCATAAGAAATTTAGCAGATTTAAGCAAAATTTGATATACCTGGAACCACACAGAGCTACCCATAAAAGCTCTTAAATAGAAATACATGGCATAGCATTTTGTCAGATCTTACATCAGCATAAACAGGGAACATAATTTTCAGAAAATTCTTAGCATTTCCTTCATATTAAGAAACATAGGACTATAGAAAATTAGACAGTAAAATATTTATCTGATGTTTAATTATTATTTCAGAGGGATTATTATAAAATCGTGTTCCCGGAAAGTTTAAAAATTTGCTCAAGTGTATAATGCTTAAACTGAAGGGCTGTATAATAGAGCCATGAATTATATTTTAAAAATATATCATTAGAAATTCAGGAAATATATTTTTTCGTCGAAACATATCATCAACAAAACTTTGCATGAGACTCAAGTAATTTATAACGCTTGATGTGTCCATATTTTTAGTTTTAGTCTCACGTACCTCAAATCCGACCTAATTTTCTACCATGGTGCATTTATGATGTTAATGTTTCCAGTTTAGAAATTACTTGCTTCCTAATTTCAGCAGTTACGGAAAAAGCTGTTATTATATTACGTTTGCTGCAATTTGGTGTTGAAACACATAGAGCTTTCACAGTTTAGAGGGCTTTAAAACTGCGTTCTTTTCTTACATTAAATTAAGAAATAATGCATAAAAAATCCGTTAGTTCCAGGTTTATCATGGATATAGAAAATTTACTCGAAACGACTGCACTCTAATTCATTCGAATAAACGAGGAGATTCTACTGATACAGAGGCTTTTCGCACATTTTTAGACGATTTTGGTAAGCGGTAATAAAATATCGTTTGCTGCAAAAGACGTAATTGCAATTGTACTATGTTTTTAAAAGTCAAAATTATCATCTGTGGCTTGAATGTTCTGTTTTTATTCAAAATAGCGAATTTAACAAAGCTGTGGTTCGAAGGCTACATTGACGCTCTTTCCGAAGAGAAATATGCATACTCCCTTATCCAAAAACGATGTGAGAGACCTGGTTTCGTGATATCTAAAGCGTCGATAGGTCATATCATCAACAAGAAAGGAAAAAAACGTCAAATTAGAGCCTCAAGGGGGACAAAAATTCCAAACAAGTATCCAAGGAAAAAACGGACATCTTCGACTATTGCAAAGGTACGTTGTTTAATGTTAAAAGAAAATCCCCCTAGTCAAAGGACAGTTGCAAAATCATTAAAATGATCGGTGTCCACTGTAAACAAAATGATTAAGCGTTGATTTAAATCTTAAGAAAGCGAAAAAACGCAATATGCATCGTCTTCTTCCAAAGCATATCGCTCAACGCAGGACACGCTGCAGAATTCTATATGAGAAACACTTATCCAAGGAAAAATGGATAACATTTGTCACAACAGATGAAGCATGGGTGTATTTAAATGATTGTAACAAAAAAAAGAGTCGTTTATTATCATAAAAGAGGGGGAAAAACATTCAAGTACATGGTTCAAAGAATCGAAAGAAAGTTTTTATAAGGGATTCATGATTGCTGCTGGTTTTTCTTATAATGGCAAGTTAAAAATAAAGAGAGTGCAAAAAAATGTCAAGATTAACTCCAAATACTATCAGGAACATATTTTATCGCCAATTTTTCTGAATGAAATACCATCGCTTTACCCACAGTGCCATCCATCTGTGAGACTCCATCAGAACAAAGCTAGCTGTCACACATCAAAATCCACTGTAAATTTCCTAAAAGAAATGGAACAAAAACTGGTATCAAGGCCATACCCTTCACTGATATCCCTACTAAATCTTTCGATGTGTCACCTATGAAGTTTTGTGTTTTCGGACTTTTAAAAACTGCATTATCCAAACGTTGTCCTAAAACCCTAACAGGACTCGGGAAAGCTGTTCTGGAGGATTTGGGATAGAATACCTCTTCTGCCACTTCAAAAGGCATTATTATCCTGGAAATTGCAGTGCTCAAAGATAGTTCAGAATAAGGGATGCAAATAGAACATTTAAAACACAAGAATTTTATGTAATTTACTTTTGTGAATACAATACACATCGTTTGAAAAATGTGTGAACAGCCTCTGTATTAGCAGCGAAATCATTGTGTTCAAAAGCGCTTCTTCCAGAAAATATTATATTATATTATAATATTATATAAAAATATTTGTGGCAACACAAACTTTCTGGTTACTAGTTTCCAAAGCAGCTATATCATGAAGTCAGCTGTAAAAGGGTGGAAGTAATTGCTTTTAAAATAATTAAAATATCCCAATTCTTGCAATAGTCACATATTCGAAGATCATGAGGGGTTTAAGGTGCATGAGTCCCCTTAAGAAATAATGTGTAAAAAAATCGGTTACTTCCAGGTTTATCATGGATATAGAAAATTTACTCGAAACGACTGCACTCTAATTCATTCGAATAAATGAGGAGATTCTACTGATATTAGCAGCAAAATCAAATCATTGTGTTCAAAAGCGCTTTTGACATAAAATTTTATATCGGCATGTTAGATTTAAATATGTAATCAAGGTCTTCAACAAATTGTGACAACTAGTTTAGTTGTCGAGAAATTTGCGCATTCCAGCTTTCGTGTTGTCGTAAATTTATAATGCCTGTATATGTTGCTTCTCTGTAGCATGATGCAGTGTGCAGAAACAACATGCTTCCTGACTATATTCCCCAAAGGCCGTTACCCCAAAAGGGCTATTAATTTCGCTTCAGCATCTGGCGTTGAAAACTTTAAACGTCCGTTTCACTTTTCAAATTGTTGTCACCAAATATTATCGCCTATGCTACATTTAAATAAATTAAATTATAAAATATTGAATTAATTAGTTTAATTTAATTAATTTTGATTAAAATGCATTAAAAGATATAAGGAGGAAAAGAAGTCGCCTTTCTTCTTCAGAATTAACAACTTTTCAGAGCAGACATATTAGATATTACTTTCTAAATTCGAATATAGAGAATAGGTACCCCCTTCTGTTGAACGAAATAAATAATCTGATGTGTACGCCACATGACTTCCTTGTACGGAATATAAAACTACACGCGTTTATAGCTGTATTTCATTTAAACTTACTTCCTCGAATTTCATTAGAGATATATTTTGATTGAATTAATTTAGTTCTCACTTCGCGGCAAACCTCAAAACAAAAAATTAAAATTTGAAAAATATAAAACAACAAAATACAGTTAAGACAATTTTTAAAAAATTATAATTCAAATGAGAGTTTCTACGCAAAAACAAGCAGTTCGGCCAGCGAGCAAGTAGGCAGATTTTATGAATTCGCAAAACTAAAAGTTCGATGCTCAAAACTGAAAGTTTACTTTTGGTCTTATTCTATTAAAAGACACTGAACGTGCAGAAACTAACTTAATTCACTTTTCTGCTTAGTTTCAAATGTAAATAAATATGGCTTATACGGTAAAAAAATTAAGGTTTAGCCGCACTTACACAACCTTTAATTTGTTCATAGTTCTACAACTATTGCATGCAGATTAACTAACACCTTACCCGGAAGACAAGAACAACAGAATTCAATAATTTTCAAATCAAAAATGCACAGTTACCAACATATTTAAAAAAATACTGAGCTAATTGAGCCGAGTAACAGTTTGGGTAGATATACGCTGACTACTAATAAGTATTTGGACACCTATGATAGAAAAGAAACGTTTTGCGATTTTGCGTTGGTTTACTATAAATGTCCATTTAATTTTTCAGACTGTTGCCACCAAATGTTAGAGTCCTGCATTATATTTGAAGAATCTGGCAATGTGATAAAACAACGGTACACAGAGCCATCGAATTTTGAATGACGTAATCCTAGTGCGAATATGGGCATCTGGAAGCTCAAATATGAAATTTGGAATTTGTTTTATGATCGATTTCATATTTTATAAAACTTTAACGAATTTTTGAGTAACAAACTCAAGGATTTCAAAGCGAGCAATGGCAACGTTGCACATAAAAAACATTTTTATCTCCAACGCGCAAGACTCTGTACCGGAAATTCTAAAGATATGCTCAATTTAAAACTATTTTGCGACATTGCTGTTGAACTGAATTTTATGGTTTAAGTGCGAAGAACATGATATTTAATGAATAAAGGTAACCGTCAAAATGATAAAAAAGGGCCCTTTGGACGTAATTTAAAATCTGAAACCTATCAGATATTTGTTTTTATTTTATTTATTTATTTATTATTTTTTTTTATAAAAATTATTTTCTTTTTACAGAAATACCCAAACCCCATTCTTCAACATTCCCATCACGAGGAGGCTTGGCTAGCAGTAGAGCTGATGGTAAGATATTTGATTTTCAATTCGAATGTTTTACGTATTTAATAAGAAGTAAAATTTTCTCCTCAGAAGCATTTTAATTAAATCGTATGCAACCACGCAAATTAGAATTATTTGAAATAAATTTGAAATTAGAAATAAATTCGCCTCGCTTTTGTATATAAACTACATAATCACGCTTTCGAATAGAAAAAGAAAACTACGTAACGTCACCGACATCTTTACATCTTTTCTTAAGATTTTCATCATCTGCATCGAAAATTGTTCAGAATTCGAGAATTGTTTTCGCGTTTATCTGTTAATAAATTCATTCATTCATTCAGCATTGCATTCCCCAATAACATTTTAAACTCTGTAAAACAGCTTATTTATAAACAATTACTAAATATTTTTCGCTAATATTTTCATACACATTATGCATCTCCTGGTAAATTATTAAGTATTACCCATTTAAAAATAACCTAACGACTCTACAACTCTTGTACCAATGGGCTCCGGTTCGAATCGTGGAGAAGGCAAGAGTATAGTGTCTATGCGGCAAGGGGGTACTCAAGAAACACAGCAATTAACACATTAATTAAACAACACATTAATTAATATATTTAAAATATATTAATTATTGCATGGAAAAATACAAGAAATAACTATTTAGAACGTGCGTCACATTTCGCTGGAATTTGATTTGAAGCGCGAAACAGAAAGTGTGAGTTAATATCAAATATTATAATGCAGGTTGTTTCAAAAGGGAAATTACTTGTAAAATTTTACCCGCTTCCTGAATTGTTAATTCTTTCAATTCAAAAACATGTCATTTATTGTCTGACGGAGAAAACAGGAAAAGCCTACAATGATAGACATTTTATACATGCATATATGCATTAAATCGAAATAAATTGTGTTCAAAATTATCTTTACATGCATAAATTAAAAAACTCTTCAATGAAACTTTTATGGAGAGCATCCTTGAGGTGAGGACCGCTCACAGTACTCTTCCCTTATAACCACCAATTCGAGAGAACCTTCGGCTTGCTGTGTTTTTTGAATACCCCCTTGCCGCACAGACACTATACTCTTGCCTTCTCCACGATTCGAACCGGAGCCCATCGGTACAAGTGTTGTAGAGTCGTTAGGCTATTCTGAAGCAGAAGACAAAAAAAAAAAAAAAAAAAAAAAAAGAGCAATGCCCTCGCGGGAATAGAACTATTCGCCGTAGCCATTTCGCCGTAGCCGTTTCCCCGTGGCCATTTCGCAGTGGACATTTCGCCGTCGGGCCGTTTCGCGTTCAGACCATATTTTTTTAGAGGACTGTATAATATCTTGCCGTATTATTTGAAGTTGATTTCAACTAATACCTCTGTTCAGTTTAATAATTTAATTTAATTTAATAAACGTTTTATATAAAATAACATATAAAATGTTTTATACAAATACACCGTTGTACATGACATATTACGTTTTACATGAGAACTAAATTTAAGTGGAGTAAGGTCAAGATTCCAAGATTCCGAAGTAATTTCGTTTTCCCATTCCAGAATCTTCATAGAAAATGTGAATTTCTTGCTTGTATGAGTAATTTCTCTGAAATAGCAAATTAAAAATTTCAAGAAATTTTCACGAATCGTGTAAATATTGTACATACATAACTTTAAAATCAATAATATAACTTCTCTTATATCAGAAGTTTAACCCCAGTTCTCTTTGATACTGATATAATTTTCCAGCTATATGTAATTTCTTTATATCTCATACGTGTAAATAATTACATATATTAAAAAAAAAACCTTTATTAAGTATATAAAAGGTCAAAGGTAAACAGAATTATTAAACCAAATAAATTTAATACGAATATAATACGGCAATTAATTAAGAAGTCAAACAACAAAAATCAGCGTTATATTTACCAAATTTTCACAGGACTAGTTTCGATGGTTTTACCGAACCACCATCTTCAGCTGCAAAACCGCAAATGAACAAGATAGGAAATAATGATTAGATAAGATAAGAAAGCCTGGACAAGAATAAGCAAGTGGCGCCATCTGTTGGTGAAACCAGAACTAAAACATAATTTCTTTAAAGGCTGAAGGCAAATTTGGATTGGAATTAGGATCGTTAACTAGAACAGAAAGATTTTTATGAATGTGAAATGCCTCTAGAAAATCCAGTTCTCCAATGGAAGATGTTTTTTGAATAATTTTGGCAGCAGAAAAACTGAAAGTGTGGTTTTCGGACCAACAATGTTGAGCAACAGAAGACTTCTGTGTTTCCTTTTTTCTAACATATGCCTCATGTTCCTTCACGCGAAATTTTAAGGCTCTCTTAGTTTGGCCAATGTAAATTAAACCACACTGGCAAGGAATCCTATAAATACCCCAGGAATTCATATCCGGAATGAGGTCCTTGAGTATGGAACTCGGAATTTTATTGATGGGAGAATAAACAACCCGAAAGTTAAATTTCTGCAAAATATGTGCAACTTTATAGCTAATTGATGGAAAGAGGGAATGACAACAGAATTTTTATAATCTCCTAAAACAAGAGTGTGCCTTTTAGTGTGTTGAGATGAGAATTTTTTTAACTGCTTGATAAATAATGTTGGGTGGAAAGCCCTGTCAATAGCTATTGCTTTTAAATAATTTAGTTCTTCATCAAGGGCTAGTTTGGAGGAGCAAACTTGAAGAGCACGGAAAACATAGGAATAAAATGAAGCTAACTTTTGTTTTAGTCGGATGACATGATTTAAAGTGTGGTGGAAGGCAAACCGATGAAGGTTTACGGTAAACCGTAGTACTGAAGTTGGATGTGTTACGTGTGACCAGAATGTCGAGAAACGGAAGAGAATTGCAAGTCTCAAGTTCAAAAGTGAACTGAATAGCAGGATCAATAGAATTCATTGTTGAAAGAACTTTATTTAAATCATCTTTATTACCTTCAAACAGGGTAAAAGTATCGTCTACGTAGCGGAACCATGCCGGGAAGTTTAAAGTTTCAAACAATTTTGATTCATAATAATGCATGTAGATATCAGCCAGGATGGGACTGAGGGGGCTTCCCATGGCTAATCCCTCAGTTTGCTTGTAATATTTATTTTGGAAAACAAAATGTGTTTGTTTCAAACAGAGTTGAGTGAGAGAAATTAGCTCATCAATTTCGATGCAAGAGAAATGAAATTCGCGAAGTCTGGTTTCTAGACATCTTAATGCACCCTCCACTGGGACATTGGTGAATAATGACTTTACATCAAAAGAAACCATGAGTAAATTACTAGGAGAAATATTTTTAACTTTTTTTACAAACCCTATTGAATTTTTTATGGTGTAAATGTTATTGTCTAATAGAGTTGAAAATCTAGAAACTAAATATTTAGCTAATGGATACGAGGCAGTACCTAAATTTGATACAATAGGGCGGAAAGGAATACCCCTTTTATGAATTTTGGGAAGAGCATATAATCTGGCACAATTCGCAACAGATGGGATAAGTGAATATTTTAAGTTGCCTGAAATGATTTGCGAAGACGTGAGCGAGTTTTTATTTTTGACAAGTCCGAAGGTGAAGGACCTTTAGGGCCGATCCCTATCTAATCATTATTTCCTATCTGGTTCATTTGCGGTTTTGCAGCTGAAGATGGTGGTTCGGTAAAACCATCGAAACTAGTCCTGTGAAAATTTGGTAAATATAACGCTGATTTTTGCTGTTTGACTTCTTAATTAATATTTATTCGGCGTGTTATTGTGTCTTAATTATAATACGGCAAGTCATGTAAAGAAAAATATGTCTTGACGGCGATACGTCCCGACAGCGAAACGGCCACGGTGAAACGCCGACGGCGAAAATTCCTAGACACTGCTCGTCGGGACTTCAACCGGGACATCTCGAATACGCGCCGAGTGTGCTGAACATTACACCACGAAGGCACGCAGAAAAGACAGAGGAAATACCTGACATACTCTCCCTTTTAACCCTTTCCGGCACGCTACCTTTTAAATTCGGAGTTTTGATAAAAAAAAAAAAAAAAAAGGTAAGCAGTCTAATTAGGCCTAGAGGAGTACACAAGTAAAATTTTGTGAAGATAGCACTTATCGTTTTAATTCTGTGGGTGTGCCCAAAGTGGCACACCGATTGAATATAGCTTCGAAAAGAGTACTAAAACGAGCATTGTTGTCAATGAACTGACAGATGAGATGCGGAGAAACAAAGAATACAGACTCTCAGTTCTCCTAAATGATCGGTGAGCCCGGTCTGGGCACACCTAAGGTTCGCCGTTTGATTTTAGGCAAGATTTCAAGGTAAAAATTTTTAAACTAGTATAAAATAAGGAGATTAGCGTATAACCAAAAACGTAACACATAAATTTCTTTTCAAACAATTCTTTTTATACCCTAAATAATATCTGGAAGAATTCTTTGAAAAAGGAGGATCTCAACAAACTAAACATGGCTGAAATATATGGACTGGTTTGTGTTGAGCTGCCATCTACTATAAAGAAAGAAGGTTCAGAGTAACCTATAGTTACCTATAAATCCTTTTTCATTCAATGTTTCTGTGCGTACAGAAGGAAATTTTTATGTGTGTCAAGACCGGACACTCTGTGCCACAAAGGGTTAAAAGACGACTGGGGATTAGGGGACCCAGTTGCCAAATCCTGGTGGTAAAGAATCGTCATCCACCACCTTTTTCAGTTCGGGCACCACTGTAGGTTCATTACGGTATTTTTTAATACTCGAGACGTGAGAAATGAGCAATACCCTCCCCGGGATTTGAACCTGGAGCTCTCGAATACTCGAATATAAAATAAGCGGTTGGATAAAAATAAATAAATCCTTACAGTATTTGTTGCCAAAAGAAAGAAACAAAAATCTGAAAGCTTTCAAATTTTATATTACGCCCAAAGGAGAGTTTTCTGATGTGTTGTGAGTTACCTTTTTTTTTTTTTTATTACATATCATGTTCTTCGCACTTAAATTATAAAATTAAATTCAACAGCTATATCACAAAATAATTTTAAAATGAGCATATCTTTAGAATTTTTTATTTCGCTATTAATTTCGTTTTGGAATTTTGTCGCGTTTCACTATAAACGGCGTTACTTTTTTTTCAAATTGTTGCCAGCAAATGTTATCGCCCTGCATTACATTTAAAGAAATGAAATAATGAAGAATCTGCATAAATGTACGCTGAAGTGACAAAAGTCATGGCATACCTCCTAATATTTTGTCGGTCCTCCTTTTGCCCGGCGAAGTGCAGCAACTCGACGTGGCATGGACTCAACAAGTCGTTGGAAGTGCCCTTCAGGAATATTGAGCCATGCTGCCTCTATAGACAACCATAATTGTGAAAGTATTGACGGTGCAGGGTTTTGGGCACGAACTGACCTCTCGATGATGTCCCATAAATGTTCGATGGGATTCATGTCGGGCGATCTAGGTGACCAGATCATTCGCTGGAATTGTCCAGAATGTTCTTCTAACCAATCGCGAACAATTGTGGCCCGGTCACATGGCGCATTGTCATCCATAAAAATCCCATTGTTGTTTGAGTACGTGAAATCCAGGAATGGCTGTAAGTGATCTCCAAGTAGATGAATGTATCTATTTCCAGTCAATGATCGGTTCAGTTGTACCATAGGACCGAGTCCATGCCATGTAAAAACAGCTCAGACCATTATGGAACTACCACCAGCTTGAACAGTGCCTTGTTGACAACTTGGGTCCATGGCTTCGTGGGGTCTACGCCAGACCATTATGGAACTACCACCAGCTTGAACAGTGCCTTGTTGACAACTTGGGTCCATGGCTTCGTGGGGTCTACGCCAGACCATTATGGAACTACCACCAGCTTGAACAGTGCCTTGTTGACAACTTGGGTCCATGGCTTCGTGGGGTCTACGCCAGACCATTATGGAACTACCACCAGCTTGAACAGTGCCTTGTTGACAACTTGGGTCCATGGCTTCGTGGGGTCTACGCCACCATTATGGAACTACCACCATCTTGAACATGCCTTGTTGACAACTTGTGTCCATGGCTTCGTGGGGTCTACGCCAGACCATTATGGAACTACCACCAGCTTGAACAGTGCCTTGTTGACAACTTGGGTCCATGGCTTCGTGGGGTCTACGCCAGACCATTATGGAACTACCACCAGCTTTGAACAGGCCTTGTTGACAACTTGGGTCCATGGCTTCGTGGGGTCTACGCCAGACCATTATGGAACTACCACCAGCTTGAACAGTGCCTTGTTGACAACTTGGGTCCATGGCTTCGTGGGGTCTACGCCAGACCATTATGGAACTACCACCAGCTGACATGCCTTGTTGACAACTTGGGTCCATGGCTTCGTGGGGTCTACGCCAGACCATTATGGAACTACCATCAGCTTGAACAGTGCCTTGTTGACAACTTGGGTCCATGGCTTCGTGGGGTCTACGCCAGACCATTATGGAACTACCACCAGCATGAACAGTGCCTTGTTGACAACTTGGTCCATGGCTTCGTGGGGTCTACGCCACACTCGAACCCTACCATCAGCTCTTACCAACTGAAATCGTGACTCATCTGACCGAGCCACGGTTTTCCATTCGTTTAGGGACCAACCGATATGCTCACGAGCCCACGAGAGTCGCTGCAGGCGATGTCGTGCTGTCAGTAAAGGCACTCGAGTCGGTCTTCTGCTGGCATAGCCCAAGGAAGACAAATTTCGCCGCACTGTCCTATCGGACACGTCCCTTGTACGTCCCACATTGATTTCTGCGGTTATAATGACGCAGTGTTGCTTGTCTGTGAACATTGACAACTGAACGCAGACGTCGCTGGTCTCGGTCGTTAAGTGCAGGTGGTCGGCCACTGCGCTGTCCATGGTGAGAGATGCCTGAAATTAGATACTCTCGGCACACTCTTGACACTGTGGATCTCGGAATGTTGAATTCCCTAACGATATCCAAAATGGAATGACCAACGCGTCTAGCTCCAACCACCATTCGGCGTTCAAAGTCTGTTAATTCTCGTCGTGCGGCCATAATCACGTCAAAGCCTCTTCACATGAATAACTTGAACACAAATGAAAGCCCTGCGAAAGCACTTCGCATTTATACATTTTCTACGCGATACTACTGCGTAAAATAAGAGTATATTTGCATATTGCTATCCCATGACTTTGTCACTTCAGTGTATGTATATCTCTCTATTACAAAATAACGGTTCCTAGAGCCGTCAAATTTTGAATAACGTAATCCTCCACCCGAATATGGGCATCTGGAACTCCAAATTTGTAATTATGAACTCATTTTATTATCCGTTTCCTATTCTGTAAAACATTTATGAGTTTTTGATTAAGAAACTCAACCATTTCAAAGCGAGCAATGGTAACAATGTACGGTGGGGAAAACAAACATTTATCCCAGCGCGCGAGACAGCGTCTCGGAAATTCTAAAGATATATTCTTTTTGAATTAATTTGTGATATTGCTTTTGAATTGAATTTTATAATTTAAGTGCGAAGAACACGATATTTAATAAATAAAGGTTTCAACACAAAACGTTAAAAAAAAAAAACCTTTGGGCGTAATATAAAATCTGAAAACTTTCAGATTTTTTGAAGTAATTGCTTTGTCAAGATTTATCACAATTCACAGGTATCGTGACCAGCTTTAACCTAATAAGGGAAAATAAGAGAACAGCTTAATGTATGAACACAAAAATACGACAGATATCCTTAATCCATAATCCTTAATCCATAAACTCAATCCATAATTCATTTGATAGGTGTTAGTAAACGTGCTGTCATGTAAACAGCGAAACATTACTTTTTAATATAGTAACGATTTTAATAAATTAATGTATAACAAAGCAAAAAGAATTTAAATCTATTTGACATATATTTTGTTTTTCGTTTCAGGCGCTCATCAAGCTACAGGTGAAAAAATGATACGAACGTGGCATAAAGACGGTACTGAAGAAGGTAGGAAATTTTTTTAAAAAAATTATGTACGGTATTTATAGCCTTTTGACAATTACAAACACTGTCTTCGACAAAAGTATATGCAACCCCATATTTTAAAAATATCTTTAAAAGTAGTAGCCAAGTGCAAAAATGTTTAACTCCATACAGTTACAAGTTCCTTTTTAAAGTTATTACAAGTTTCAAAAAGTAAAAGCAGACAAACAAATACCCGTTCAGTTGATGGTTAAGTCGCTAGACACTGGTAATCCGACCTGGGACGGATACCAAACCAACATACTGGCTGTATGGGTGTTTTTGTGTTTTTCCTCGTGTGTAACGTGGTTATAAGACAGTTTCCCTTAACGCTCTTCGTGAATGCATCCTTCCTTCACGTTCATATAGAAAATGTAAACTGCGAAAAAAAAAGAAAGAAAAGAAAAGAAAAAATGGCAAAGTTCTATATCTCCCGTTCTACTTACGGGGTCAATTGACGAAATTCAACTTGCGTTTTTCATGTCTCGAAACGCGATTTAGGATATATATTAGATTTATATATAGCATTGTTCTAATATAGGCACTGTTGAGTGAGTACGAGTTCGTAATAGATTAAATGCACAAATCTGTTGAAAAGTTAATAAAATTTATTCTTATCGCAAGGGATATAAACAAAACGCTGAAATTTCTCCTCACAGATATACGTACAATATCACACAGTGGTTCCATTTTAAGCTACTAAATCATTAAATAGTACTAAAACGCTAATCGATCTTACCGCGAATTCGCTGCAGTCAACAACAACGAATAAATAAACGACTGAACTTAGATGTTTTCCTCCGGCTTTTATAAGCTTTTTAATCATTCACGAGAACATTCTGGTATTTTCACTAGGTTTCTGGAAAGCAAAAGTGTACAATAACGAGATATTTATTTATTAAATGTTTAATACGCGTGGTCCTGATTTTTACTTTTTTGGTGTAGCTTTCTCTTAAACCTCGTCACGCGCTGCAAAATAATGGAAAATAAAATGGGAAAATAAACAATTTAATTACAGTTCTACTAAAAATAGCTAAATAAATACAAAATTGTAACAGTATTATGACATAAGATAGGACTTTTTCTAAAATGACATACCAGTTGTTTTTCATATTTCAATTCTGCAGCTAAAATTATGCCTAAATATTAAATTTTGTAAAATTTGGTTCGAAATTAACGAAGAAATTCAAAAAATTATCTTGGTGCATTTTTTTTTTTTTTGTTTTTTTTTTTTCCCAGTTTGCGCCAAGAATAATTCACTGGGCGAACTTCTTAATTTACGACAACCTATTTTCCTTTTCCTTTTTGCATTGTGAATGAGCGGAGAAAAAAATCACATCGTTCCTACTTTTAAATAATTTTAACAATGTGAGTAACCCACATTTGGCGTCATTATCGCTTTTAACAAATATGCCAAATTTCAAAACATATTTTGAAACTCAAAATATATTCAAAATATATTTTGAAATAATCATTTCAATGATTTATATTCAAAATATATTTTGAAATAATTTATATATTTTGAATAAAAACTCTAATTATTGCGTGCAGCGTGCAGATCACCACATCACGAAAGCTTGCTAAGAAGGTGAGAGAAATACCTTATATACTCCCCCTTTTAAAGGTCGACTGGGGTTTTTAGGGGACCCTATCGCTAAATCCTGGGTGAGGAGAATAATCACCCAGCACACTTTTAGTCCCTGTTCGGGTGCCACAGTAGAGACATTAGGTTATTTTGAGGTCGGAAAGGTGAAAAATATGCAACGCCTTCGCCGAGAATCGAACCACGGACCTCTGGAATACGCGCCCAGCGTGCAGACCACCACACCACGAAGACTCACTAAGAAGGTTGGAAAAATACCTTATACAGTGATAAGAAGCTTGGATTTTATTTATCTCGGAAAATTTAAAAATAAATACAATAATATAAGGTGCCTAATACTTTTGGCCAAAGCCGTAAGCTTCGTGTTTTCGCATCAAACTTTCATTTATAATTCTTCGAACCTTTAAAACACATACTATTTTTATAAATTTGAAATTCTGATACTCAAGGTTGTAGAGTCATTAGGTTAATTGGAAGCATAAAAGATGAAAAATATGCAACCGCCTTCGCCGCTAATCGAAACCACGGACCTCTGGAATACCGGCCCAGCGTGCTACCGTTACACCACGAAGGCACGCTACGGAAGCGGGAGAAATACCTTATATACTCCCCTTTTTAAAGGGCAACTAGGGTTTTAGGGGACCTAGTCGCCAAATCCTGGGTTCGGAGAATCATCATCGACAACCCTTTTAGTTCGGGTGCCACTTGTAGAGTCATTAGGTTAATTGCAAGCAGAAAAGATGAAAAATATGTAACCGCCTTCGCCGGGAATCGAACCACGGACCTCTGGAATACCAGCCCAGCGTGCTACCGTTACACCACGAAGGCACGCTAGGGAAGTGAGTGGAGGCCCACCAGCGGCCGAGAGGTAAAATCGCTGAACACTGGTAGTTCGGTCCGAGGTTCGAATCCCGCGAACGGGCTGGCTGCATGGGCGTTTTCGTGGTTTTCCCCATGTGTAACGTGTATACGAGCCAGTTTCCCTTAGAAAGTCCTCCACGAAGGCATCCCTCCTCTTAGGCAGATAGCCCTCGAGGCTTTGCCATAATCACACACACACAGGGAAGTGGGTGAAATACCTTATAAGGTAATTAATATTTGAATATTACTAACCTGCTTATGATAACTTAATTAATTTTGCGGCTGAATGGGACAAGAATGGAGACTAAAGCAATGTAATGAAAGCTAAAATGTAGTAACAAAAATTTTTTTTAATTATTCGTATATGGAGAATAAATAGAGAAATCTGTTTTTACGGCGAATATACTTGCAGCTTTAATATTGCACAGACTTGTACTCTTTTTGATAATAATTTACAAAATAGAATCAAAATCTAGCCCAGTTTTTATAATGTATCGTGGCAAAAAAAGTTGAATTATGGAAATCGTTGTTAAGAAATCGCTAAGAACTAAAACCGAACCAAGCGTTAAACTGCAGAAGCAGAACCCCTCATTAAACAACGCATTACGCCAAAACTATTTACCTGGTAAATTTTTAATCATTATATTGCTTGCTTCTGATTACACATCTGCTTTCTTTTGAGTCATTTTAGTTTCTGAAAGAAACTTTCCTTTTTTCCTTCTGCATGGAATTTTACCTTAGTGCATATATTTGACGCATTTCCCATAAACCATTCCATGCTTTCCAAAGAGAGTCTACCTTCTAAATAATTATTTCGTCATTTTTCTTCTAAGAATTTATTATCCGACGTTTTTATCATTATTATTTCGTGTATTTTACCACTTACATTTACCTAATCCTTAGCTTGCAAACTAACTACGTTCATAATTTATACTGAAACACCCAATTAGTTATGCAGTTTCAAATAGTCCCTTAGATATCACTTAGAGGAAGTAAAACATATATTTCCATTCATTCTACTATTTCAATACAATAATCATGACAAGAAAATTTCTAAAAAAAAAAATCTGAAAGCTTTCATATTTTATTTTATGCCCAAAGAGGCGTTTTTAACGTTTTGTGTGTTACCTTTGTAGAGTTATTACCGTGAAAGACCGAAATTGGAGAATGTCGACTTTCACCGGAGAATGTCAACATTCACCAAATACGTCGGTGAAAGATGGAATATTTCTTTACATTCTTGTAAATTCGGACCCTCACCGGTGTATGTCGACAATCACAGATATGCTCTGGTGTAGGTTGAAAAGAGAGGAGTATATGTACACGCCATTCCAAAAGTAAGTGTTCCACAAATAAATACAATCTTGTAAAAGCAAGGGACTCTTGTGCAATTCAAAGTGTCATAATAGTTTAAATTGTTGCAATAAATATGAGTTGAATCACATAATTTGGTAAGTTTATAACTTCTATTATTTTCCTTTTTCATTTTGAATGTACTGTGTGTTTTAAGTTCTTATGTTCTTAGAGTTCTTATTCTGAGTCTCAAATGAGTTTTTTCGCGAATGAATTACGGAGAAGGAAATATAATATTCTTATATGTTCAACATTCACCGGTGTAAGTCAGAAACAAGAGTATTTGGAACATATTTCGGGCACACACCAAGCGACTATGTGAATGTTGACATTCACCGGTGAAAGTCGACATTGTCCAGATTCGGTGTTTCACCGTAACAGAGTCATTAGGTTGATTGGAAGCAGAAAAGTTGAAAATATGCAACCGCCTTCGCCGGGAATCGAACCACGGACCTCTGGAATACCGGCGCAGCGTGCTACCGTTACACCACGAAGGCACGCTAAGGAAGTGGGAGAAATACCTTTATTTATCAAATATCATGTTTTAAGCACTTAAAGTAAACAATTAAATTCAAGAGCAGTATCACAAAATATTAAAATAAGCAATACACTTAGATTTTCCAATGCACAGTCTCGCTCGCTGGAGATAATTTTTTTTTCCTTACAGTGTTGCCACTGCTCGTTTAGAAATCGCTAAATTTGTTAATCAAAAATTCTTTAAAGTTTTACAAAACATGAAACAGATAATAAACCAAATTCTAAATTTTTTCGTCCGGATGCCCATGTTCGTGCGAAGGATTACATTATCCACAATTAGATGTCTCTTGGACAAAAACCAATGTTTTTAAGAAACTCCGATTCCCTATTCCATATGGTCTCCCGGAAATGGCTTACAAAATTTCAACATTCCATTATATGTATTATAATAGTTATATAATAATAATTACTGTATATAGTTAATTATAATATAATAAAAAATAAAAAACTGAAAGCTTTCGGATTTTGCATTGCTCCCAAAGGAGCGTTTTCTTAACATTTTTTGTAATACCTTTATTTATTAAATATCATGTTCTTCGAAATTAAACCATAAAATTCAAATCAACGGTAATATGGCAAAAAAATTTAGAAACAGCATATCTTTAGACTGTGTATCATAATTTCTGATACA